CAGGGACTCAGGACGGTAGAACCAGATGTTTCAAGGACTGAGGACAGTAGAACCAGATGTTTCAAGGACTGAGGACAGTAGAACCAGATGTTTCAAGGACTGAGGACAGTAGAACCAGATGTTTGGTGGAGGTCTTTTGCACAAACCTTCTGGTTCGTCTCACAGAAGAACTTTTCGGAAACTGAAGAAAGAAAAATCAATGGTGCCTGTGAGTGTGAGACTTTGTGACATTCTGCAGAACTTCTCCAACGATCCGCCTCGTCTCCGGAGTCACAAAGTGTTTCTGGAGCCGCTGTACAACCGGACCTGCTGTCAATTACAGAGGCAGGAAAATTCAGCTCGGACAGGACTTTGCTGCAGGTTCATCCTGATGTGGACTCGGGGGTCTCGGGGGAGAAGCGTCTGAAGGCCGAACAAACAGTCTAACGAGGCTCCGGCGCTCTTTAATGCTCACCATCAACACCATCGACTGGCTGACACCACAACTAAATGCCAAACCGCTGCTGGAGCTGAAACACCAGGCTGCCCCCTGCTGGTGCCACGCGCAACTGCAGCATCAAACCAAAAATCAGCTTGTTTTTAAACAATAAAGAGATTATTAGTGTTTGAATATTTAATTTAAAACATTAAGCTGTGATTTTATTTTACATAATTTAAAGGTTGTTTTATACTGAATGTTTTTATCAAACATTCATGATTTAAACAATAATAACAATAAATAATCGTTTTAATTTGTAACACACTTTCCATTAGTAAAAATCTCAAAGTGGCAGAAGATAAAAGATGTAAAATCAGGAAAAAAAAAAATACTCCCCCCAAAAAAAAAAAAAAAAAAGATTAATGAGCAACAAGCTTCACAAGTTACATTTTTTAATGTTGATCAGAGATTATTTAATCTTAATTTTATTATTATCAGGCTGCATTTGAAAAAATATAAAATTTGTAAAATTTTAATTTCTCTTCCTGCAGAACTTCCTCTGCATATCTGGCATATTGTTCAAATAAACCCAACATCTCTTTACTTTGCTTTTCTTTAATAAATGTTGAAATAAATGATTTTAGATTTTGTTTTAAAGTAGTTTTTATTTCTGTACTTTAATTATAAATCCTGTATTCTAATAATAAACACTTTTATAAAAGAAACAAATAATAAACACTGGTTTTAGACAGAATTATCT